TTTGAGAAGGTAGAACGGATCGAGATGAACGGAATAGTCCTGTACCATTTTGCAATTTTCGTAATAGTTAACGAGTAATTAATTATTAAAAATCGTTGTCTTAGGTCGGCCTACCGCCCAATTCGAGCGCGTGGCAAGATGTGATCGCCCGGCGATCGATATTGCTATACGCACATCTCGCCACGCGCTCGAATTGGGCGGTAGGCCGGCCTAAACAACGATTTTTAATAATTAAGTAATTACTCGTTAACTATTACGAAAATTGCAAAATGGTACAGGACTTTTCCGTTCATCTCGATCCGTTCTACCTTCTGAAAAATTTTGTCGGATATGGAAAGACTCACCCTGTATATAGAAATAATACAGGACATCTGCCGGATGCCCTCAGACGTCCTCAGTATATCCGCGAAGTCCGTCCTGGACGTCCTGAGAACGTCCTGTGCTACCTGGGGTACTATCTGAGATATTTCATAACCAGAAGTTTGATAGACTTCACTATGCGTCTAGTAAATCCTAAAAGAATTCTGATTCGTCCATTTTCTAACAGACGATTGGTTGAATCTACCAGATTTCTAATTAATGCAACCAGATTCCTTTTCAGTCTGGGTACAAGTTCTCGTCTGAATGATTGAAATTACCGAATCACCCCAAATTAAATATTTCTAGTTAAGATAAACGAGACCTAGAACAAACGACGTCGCGATTCCAAGAGCATTGAATGCACGTATCTCGTATTGTTTCACTTGGAATGTCATCGACAATTGTCAGATCCTCTGCAGTTCGAATCCCTTCTCTGCTCCGGTCGATAAAGCCGACGTTCTTCTTTCTCGCACGAGTGTGGCTCGTCCACGAGGTTTCTGCACTCATCACCGGCTGGCGTCACGTCGGCAGTCACGTGTGCAAATTACCGAAGAGCGAGCGTAGTCCTCGGTGGTCCTCGGTACTCCCCGTTATAAGTTGCGAGATATTACTTTTGATAAATAAACGGACACGCGGAAGGACAATGTTGGCGTAAGTGATCGGATAAATTTGAGGATATTGCGATTATACGAGTCACGACTCTGCGCTACCGGCGTTCGCAGGTGCGTCTTGAGTTTACCCTAACCTATACGAGTTCAGTTTGCGTTTTAACTTTTAGGCGCGGCATGGCAACCAGGTTGACTTGCACACCCGCGCTCCTGAATTTCACACGTCCGATGTCTGCTTTCAAAACACGGAAAGTTAAGTGGAAGTACGTGGCGGATAATCCCGAGGCGGTGAGATACGAGGGAGTCACATATTTCCCAAGGTATACGGAGGTTACGTCACGCGGCAGCCGTCCTTTAATCCTTTCGAGACGATTCCGCTGTCCGGGAGCTACGAAAGAGATAACGTGCTTGTCTCCAAGAAGTCGCAAATGTTTTAACGTTGAATCACAAGTTCGTTCTCGCCGTCGAGTTTGAAATTTGAGAGAGAGAAACATTTTGGTTTGAAACGATTACTGACTAAAGGTTAACCGGGCAAGCTCTTGGAATGCTGAATTCCTACAAATTGTTAAATGTACTTTGAATCCCGAGAGGATTAAGGCAGCTCGTGGTTAGTGAACTCGCAATTGCCACTATTGGTTCGGGTACTCGGCAACATGTTTGCAGACATCCAGATCACGTCGATCCGCCGTTCGAGCCGAGCAAGTTGTTGCTGGTGAAGCGGGTAAAGCGTTTCTCCGGTAATCCCTGGTGGGACAAGGAGGTGCTGAAATGCTTAGGTTTCGTGGATGAGGTAGCGGGAATTGTAGTTGCGCAAAGCGTGGTGTAGTCTTTGACAAATTCTTTATTCTTTTGATCGTCTTACAGAAACACGTAAATGATCCAGTGATCGTAAAAAACACGCCAGAGATTTGTGCCATGCTCTGGAAGGTGAAGCATCTAGTAAAGATCGTTCCCATAAAGCTGCCCGACAAAATGCCAACCGCGGACGACCTGAATGGCACATATTTACACGAGAACGGCACGTTTTACGTCGTGCCGAGAATAGATCCTGCTCGCGAAGAAGCCATAATTAAGTTCGTAAACGATCCGAAGAAGCTGAATCGCGATCTTATACAAGAGAAACTGAGGCTTAGCTGGTTAAATGGACATCTTATGTAATAGATCTTGAATTACACAATAAAAATAAACGCTTATTGGTAAGTGATTAATATAAATCTATCAATGAAGGAATCACTGAAATAATCCCGTGGCGATTCCCGGTTGAAATTCCTTTCCTGAGGAAAAACTTTCGAAATACCCTGTACAGTACAGCGAGAAGAGACTCACGGCCGGTTAGAAACGGTCCGTGCGTATGAAGAGTTGTGTAAAAAATAATATCGTGAAAGACAGTAATTTTGCGCTTAAGAGATACGAAGGAAACGGTTGAACAAATAATATAGTTTTATTTATATTTTGCATATGCGGTCAATCGACCAGTTTACAACCTACTAACAATAATGTTAAAATTTTAGTGTTTTATTTAATTCTTCAAGTCTGTTTAAAGCGTCCCACACCCCCGGGGTGCGTAAAATTACTCAGTTTATTCTTGACTTTGTCAATCTTAAACTTATTTTTTTTAATTCACGAAACACATTTAATACTGAAAATTGATAATTAATTAAGTGGCAGATAGTGGCTCTTTGCCAGACACGTACGCGTTAAAGTAGGACGTGATCGACGAGAGATAGACTCCAATTTAAAAAAATCTATGACTGCACACCCAGTGGATTTGGGACCCTTGGTAGGCGGGAGCGAAATCTATGAGATGCCCTGCAATAAGATTTCATTATCTTAATCATGCACGGAGGGAAGTTTCTCTTAAAATTTACCCTGAAAATGATGTAATCGTGGGATAACGCGGCATTTTGAAGAATTTTATGAGAGTCTTTTGAAACTTTACCATACATCTTATTCTTCAAAATGCCGTGTTGTCCCGCGATTACATGATTTTCAGGGTAAACTTTAAGAGAAAATTCTCTCCGCGTGGGTTGTCCCGAGTCACTCTCAGTCGAAACGTTCAAATATAAATATTAGATTCCGATTTGCGATATATAATATGATCTTACCTTAAATTCAATTAGGATTAAATTCAGGACTCATCGTTAGATCGTTATTGCATAATAACGGCTGTAGTGTAATAATAACGTATAAACTTAAGTTAAATTTAACATTACTTTGATTTATTTAAATTAAATTATTTTTAATATTATTATTATATCACAGCCGCCCTCCCTCAGAATGATTCGCACTTATTTATCTCCTTGACATAAAATGGTCTCCACCTTGCGTAAGATATCAGCAGCTTGTTGCGGGACACCCAGTATAATAAGTGGAAGATAAATGCCGCTTTGGGTCAGTCGTGCGGACCTACTTAGATACAGTGTTCCAAAAAAAAAGGAGTCGAAATTCATAAGATCTACACTTCGCGAGCGAAACTCGCCAATTCCAACTGCCGCCGATCAGCTCTCGTACGATCCGGAAACGATCCGCTAGGCCGTGCCCGGTGGACATACGGCGTGTCCCTGCGAGCTTTAGCAAGCGTACTAATGGCGCGGTTCTCCGACACTCTACTCGACCGACTAATCCTGGAATTGCGTTTCCATCGCCACCGATAAAGGGCCAACTGCGACTTTTACTCCTTTGCGGTTACTAAGAAGTGAACTAGATTGGAACTGCGGTTAAACCTAATATTAGCTATTCGTATTCACTACTACCATCTCTATGAAAACAACCTCGGCCTCGTGCGTGCTCGAGCGGAATTCAAAAAGTCCCGATAAACGCGAATGTCTTGGAAGTCCTAGAGTAACGGAGAGACACAGAGCGATTGCCTTTCCCCCTCGATTCCCCCGTTCCTCGCGATCGCTTTCCCTTTCAATACGCGCTTCTCCGAGCGATGGTTTACTCGTGTGTCAAATCTCATTAGTCCCTTACAGTCATCATCCTCAAATGTACTTACGATCAATTCTAATCGTTCTCTAACACTATCACAGTAATCGTATCATTATGTAGCTTCTTCAGTATTAATATTACTAATATTTTAGATTTAATGTTTTTTTTTCCAAACTAACACGCGCGACTTTACATGAATTCAATGCAATCTAGGTAACTGTTAATGTCGTGTTTTTATTTGAAATTTTGACTTGATGAATAGTTGTCGCGCAGCGATCTCGTTGCAAAATACACTACTCCGATGGTCACGTTTTCTCATATAGAGAAAGCAACGGCAACAAGTGCGACCCACGAGTAAAGCATCACCCACGGCGACCCTTGAGTGAGTTTACGCGGAACTGGTGCGTCTCCGATTACGCAGCTTCCAGAAACGCCTGTCTCTCGACGTATGATGAATCGAGATTGTGTTCTGCGCCGACCTGGCGCCGCCCTTCTCCGGCATGTACAGCCTCAGCAGTCGCGCCGCTCTCTCCTCCTGCGATCTGTCCGCTGCTTTTCCGCTGAGGAAGCTCAGTAACTTCATGCTCCGTCTCTTTAGCCTCAGTCTATTGAGAAAATTTGTTTCGCCGGTGCTGGACGGACTCCCATTCGGATCGTCGAACTCCTCCTCGAATCTCCTCGATCTCCTCAGCTGTTCGGCCTGCCTTCTACTTCTGTGTCTTCTCCTGTCACTCGCGTCAAACGAGTCCTCCCTCCGCATCGCTTCCCGCCTCCTCTCGGCGTTCATCTCCTCGGCATTGCGGGAATTGGTCTCCTCCGCTCTTCTCGCGACGGCCTCCAGTTCCCTCAGACGTTCGGCCTCTTTGAAACTTCGGGAATTAGGCGAGCCGGTCGTTTCCGGCGCGTAGCCCGCGTCCACGTCCGACAGCTTGCGGTGCAGATCGACGATCTTGCGGCGGAACTCCTCGTCCTCCTGGTTCAGCTTGGCGAAGACACGGTCACGTTCCTCCGCGTTTGCACCGACGCTCGACTTGGACGTCGTCTGAAACCGCTGTCACCACCATCCGACCTGGTGCTTGCCGCTGCCAGGCGAGTCCTCCTCCTCCGGCAGCGGCTCCAGCCGCCTCCTACCCAGGAAGCAGCGAAGCGAGCCCAGGCTACCGCTGCCGCCCAACAACTGGTCCATGCTCAGCTCCGGCAGCGAGCAGTCCTCGTTCTCCGATTCCTGATCGGCGTCATCATCCACCGACAGATTTAGGCCGTAATTGTCCTCGCCGATGGTGCCGGCACCCATCGCGCCACCGCTGCTGCTGCTGCAGCCGTTCGGCGGCGGCTAGGGAAGTCAGGTACAGCTCGGGCTAGTGATTCTTTGCAAAAAGAAAAACAAGGCAAGCGTCGTCATGCAGGCAAGCGTGCGAAGCTTATTCTATCCTCATATTGTCGCTGCATTCCCGCGATACTCCTGAATCAAAGAAGCCCCTGATTTAGGTATAGACGTCCGTCATTCGTATCCCATCTTTCAGTGCTAGGTGCGGCCGTCTGATTCTGTGGTTTTGTCTACTTCAAGGTGAGGGCAGTCGTAGTTAGCGAAAAGTCTGGGCAATGATTACGACCTGCAGTCCTCGGAACAGTACCGTCGCAAAGTCCGTCGAATTTATATATTAAATTCCGTTACAAACCATATGCAAAATAAATGCGATTGCAAATTTTCAATGTAGAGTGCGATTTAAATGAATTAATGCTCCGGAACTGGATGTTACTTTTAAGCAAGCTTACACGAAGATAGTGATACGTGTCAAGTGATTATTACTTGTTTGTGCACAGTGCAGTGCAGACTATAATTTATAATGCATAACAAACAATTTTTATCGGGACTGAATTACTTTAAAGACTACAACTGATTTCTTTTCTCTATAAACTGAAGAATTTTCTAAGCCGCTTTGAAATTTATATTTTTGAAAAATTGAGCTCAGTTTAACAACATAAACTCTTATTTCATGAAATGTGCGTTTAAGATGTTTGGAAACGAGCTTGTCAATCACTTGATACGCGGCAAAATCCTTCACAATGTTGGGGCTTGGTTCACTGTGCTTACTAAGCTATCGCTTTTGGACATTAGTGTCGTGTATTGTGTAGTTACAAACATTATTACCGAATTGGCGGTGAAGCTCTCGTCGTCCGGCCCGCCGGAGGTCGGCGTGCCCCAAATATCGTCGCCGGAAGTCGCCCCGGACGTGGTGCCTTCCTCGTCGTTCGGATCCAACGAGAACTCGGTTCGCTCCGGGGGTACCGGCGGTTGAAGAAGATAACCGCCGACACCTTCGCTGAGCTGCTCCAGCAGGACCATCTTGCTGACGACGTAGCTGCTCGCTCGGGCAGTCCACGCTCTCAAGCCGGACGGCGGCGATTCCGTGTCCCGATTGTCGTCGTCCCCCTGCTCGTCCAACTCGTCATCCTGATCCAGGCTACTCATCGTGCCGAACCGTCTCAAAGCTCTGCGCGAGAACGACCGTTACAAACGTGGGAGATCGAAAAGTCGCTTTTAATTAAATTTTC